GGGCGACGCAAACGCTGCGCCTCAAGGTCACTTTGTAGCAACATTATTGGTCCCGCCGGAGGGGGCGGGACGGAGCCGCCCCAGCCCCGCCCTCCCCCGGCCTAGCGCCCAGCTCCGCTCCCGGCCTGGTCTTGCTTTCTCCTCGCACGCGCCTTCCTAGCCCAGCGCCAGGCCCTTTGCGCACAGAGATACATCCCTTTGCGGAGCCGGGCCTGAGGGCCAAGCAAGCGCGGCCGGGCAGCGCCGGGGGGGGAGCTGGTCCCTGCCCCCAGGAGCATGTCCCAGCGGCAGTGCCCGTGGGTGCCCTGCCCCTAGAGTGCATCTTGGGCGCTAGGCTCTGAGGCTTCCTTTGATAAATCATTTCCAGTGACAACACCTTCATTTCCCCTGCCTTCACGAGTCATGGAACTGCTGCACCTTTTAGTGGTCTAGAAGTTTTGGATCGGTTTTTGCATTCACTCTCTTAAAGAAAATGCTCGTCTTCGCATGATTGTTGTTGACATGTTGATCAAGAGTTAGTTGATGTCATGTTGTGTATAAGGAATATTTATTGCCTGCTCTATAAAAGGCATCCTTAAAACAGTAGAGTTGTTATACTAGTTAAAAAATGAAGGCAAAAAAGAAATGCGCACAATCTTCCAAGAAAAAAATGCAAGTTGCTTCATAGTACTTAACTATGATCATTTAGGATCAAAGAATGTGGTCATACCAACAGAAAGAGGGACTGGACAGCAGTGATGCTGAAAAGGATTTAGGAGTCATATGGACAAGCAGCTCTGTATACGTTCCCAATGCAATGGTGTGATCAATTGAGTAAATGTGATCCTGGAATGCCTAAACGGAGGAGTAGGAGTAGGGAGGTGGTTTTACCTCTGTTTACCATGATACTAAGACTCATACTGGAATCCTGCATACAATTCTGGTGTTTTCATTTTAAAATGGATACTGAAAAATTGGAGAGGATGCAGAAAATAACCACACAAAGGCTGTGTGTAGACTGACAAGTTTTTTCGCAAAATCAGCTGCTTTTGCGGAAAAACTTGCCAGCTATCTACACTGGCCCCTTGAATTTATGCAAGAACACTGACTTCCTACTGTAAGAAATCAGTGCTTCTTGCGGAAATACTATGCTGCTCCCGTTCGGGCAAAAGCCCTCTTGCGTAAATCATTTGTGCAAGAGGGCCAGTGTAGACAGCACAGTACTGTTTTGCGCAAAAAAGCCTCGATGGCTAAAATGGTGATCGGGGCTTTTTTGTGCAAAAGCGCGTCTAGATTGGCACGGACGCTTTTCCGCAAAAAGTGCTTTTTTTCCGTTAAAAGCATTTGCGGAAAATCATGCCAGTCTAGACATAGCCAAATAGTCTGAGGGCTGGAAAAACAAAGTGAAAGGCTTAAAGAGTTCAAACTGTTTAGTTTATGGAAAAGATTGAGAAGTGTCTTGCCTTAAGTATTATAAAGTATATAATACCCAGTAAAATATTGAGTACTAAAGGGCTCTTTAATCTAGTGGAGCAAGGCATAGAAACAATGGCTGGAAGGTAAAGCCTGGCAAATTTAAATTAAAAATAATGCAGGGTGAATTTTTTTAACAGTGAAAATGATAAACCATTTGACCAAACCACCCAGGGCAATGGTGGTTTCCTTACCTCTTGTCTTCAAATTAAGATAGGATGCCTTACTGAAGATATACATTGATGAACCAGAGGTTCGAAAGATTGTCTACGGGTGGCGTTTATGGCGAGGGACGGGCTGCGAAGGAGGAAAGCCTGAGACTTAAATACACTTAACCAATTACAAACTTTATTAACTTCAGTTTTATTTTATTAAATCACTGTCTCTGATTCGTCTTAGTGCAGCATGCAAATATATATATATATATAACAAATAAAACCAATACAGCAATAATAAAAACTCCTCCCGTAGCCAATCCTTCTATGGTTATCTTTAAACAGCTGGTGGAGTTAGTCATTAATCTACGTATACTTAACAACCTCTAAATATGAAATGGTTAATACAATGGTAAGCAATACTCACAAGCCCGGTAACAATTACGATGCACAGACGCAAAACAAAACATAGCATGCTCCGGATTCGTACACCCTTTCGTGATTCGGTGGGTAGGAGGTGGCCTTTGGTGATCAACCCTTTAGCCAGGCTGGATGATACGTGCCTTCTATCTTGATGTAGAACAGTGGTCCCCAACCTTTTCAGGTTGGCGGGCGCCAGGGGGCGTGGCCGTTCACCCGCTGGGCGCCAGGGGGCGGGGACACTTGCCCGCCCGGGGGCGGCCCCCCCCAGCCACATGCCC